AGAAAAGAAAAAAAACAATTGAACCGTATCAATTATTCTGTGGTCTTCCTTATTAATTGTCTAGCTTTCATGTGCATACAAAACAATTTAAAAAACAATGGTGTGGGTCAGACACAGAGAAAGGATGTCTTTTTTTTTGCAGTTTTTATGGTTTATTTAGCACAAATAAAATGTGCAAACAAGCTTTCTATTCATTTTCTTTGCTGTGCAGTCTGGCATTGGTATTGGTGACTCTAACGGCAAGCCGGGCTGCTCTTTTCACAATGGCTTTGTGGTTCTTGGAGGAAACATTGTGCGCAATCTCAGCACAGTAAGATTTGTTGCACATCAGTAGCACCTCGACATTGTGGACTAGGCATTTGCGGAAGCCACTGGGCAACATGTGCTTTGTCTTCTTATTGCTCTCGTAACCAATTTTGGGCATCAAGATCTGGCTCTTAAATCTTCTCCGAACTCTGTTGTCGATGCCTCTGGGCTTGCTCCAATTAAGCTTAATTTTGACATAATGGTCTGACTGGTGGCGGATGAATTTCTTGGTCCTCTTTTTGACGATCTTTGGCGTCACCCGGAGTCTGAGGGCAGCCATTATGCCAGTGGCAGATGACAGCCACCTCCATAGACAGCGCGGAAGGAGCGAAAAAGGATGTCTTTAAAGTGACATCCTTGCTCTATAGAACTTTAAAGAGATCTTTGACAGAAGATTTGCTCTCTGCTTTTTTTGTGTGTTGATTGCTGCTACCATTGGTGTTATTGTACACATATATAAAACACACATCTACATGTGCATACATATAGTATATGTAAGAGAGACATGTTTATTTCAAGAAAATTGTTCATATGCTTGTAGAGGCTGGCAAGGATCAGGTACTAATGAGTTCAAGTAATCAATAGACAGTATCCAAGAAATACAGGACTGCAGGGTTCAAGGTCACCAGCCAGCAAGGTCATCTAGGAAGCCTTTCAGACTGCAGGGTCAAGTCTATTGATCAAAAACCAGGTGTAAGAGTGGACCAAACACCCAGAATTTTTCCAGAGATCTTGCCAAGCTTGTCTTCTATGTTGTTGTTATTAGGTACCGTTGAGTCAAGTAAAACTCATAACAACCCTGTGAGCAATATATCTGTCCTATCCTATGCCATCCTCACAATCTCTGGCATAGTTGAGCCCATTCCTGCAATCACTCTGTTAATCTACCTGGTTACAGGTCTTCCTATTCTTTGTCATCCTACTACTTTTCCAAGTAGGATATCCTTCGCCAAGGAATAGCCATTCCTGGAAAGATGCCTAAAGTATGTGAAATGAAATTTTATCATCTTTGCCTTCAAGGAGTACTCTGGCTGTACTTCCTCCAAGACATGTCTGTTTAACAGTCCATAGGATATTCAGCATTCTTCTCCTACACCAAAGTTTAAAGGCATCAGTTCTTCTGTCATCATTGTTCATTGTCTGTCTCTAGATGCATAGCAACTGACTGAAAAAATTATGACCTGAATCAGGCACACCTTAGTCCTCACACTAACATCAATACTCTAATAATTTGGAGAGGTCCCTGTCTACAGACTTTCCCAGTGGATCATTTCTAGTCCAAATGAGTTGATGGTCCAGGTCAGAGCTACAGAGGTCATAGAAACAGCAGAATCTATTCCCTCTAGTTGTTTTGCTTTTTTCCTCTCATCTTCCTTGAGAATTGCCATCATATTACAGAAAGTGGCCACAGAACCGACCTTCTGCTGAATGTGAGGCTGCTGCTTAGAAGTTTATCCTTGCTTTTGTATTCCAGAAAACAGAAAAAGTCGATTTTTCCTACAACAAACTGGCTGATCCCAAGTTCTCATTTTATGACAAGACTTTGGTGGAAGCAGTGAAAAAGAAAGATCATTACGTGCATTTATTTTTTCTCTCACTCTCATTATGCCATACTGTAATATCTGAGGAGAGAGTGGAAGGTAAGGAGAGCCTAAGACCTCTTAACTGAGAATATGTCACAGACTGGTTGGAGATGGGTGGTTTGATATGGTTTATAACAACTTAACCTAAGAAAGAATAGTTCTAGTAGGGAGTACTGTCCAACAATGGAATAAATAAATGGTCAAGATAAACAGCTCCCAATCATTGGAGATGTTCAAGTAGAAACAACCTTTAAAGAAGGTTTTAAAGAAGACTCAGACTTAAGAGAGTGGTTTGATTTGATTACTTCTAATTTTGAGGTTCTGTAATGCTGCATCATAGAATCCATCTGAATTGTTCCCAAGATCAGTCCTATTATTTCTGACAAGACTTCTTCAAGGATGAGCTGAATTGTCATCTTGTCACTTCACAGTTTAAAAGTATCTGTCCTAATTCTAGTTTCTTTAGCAACCAAATATAGCTGTCATTCATGAATTTATCAAAGCCTTTTTAGAACTGGATGTTAAATGACTGACTATAAATTAAAAACTTTTTAAAAATCAAACAAGGATGAGGTAACCAAATAAATAATGTCCTTTGAAACCAATATGCTCTTAATACTACCAGTACCAACATTTTATACTTGTATTTTACTTACAGTTTTAAAAATTTGTTTTGTTTATATACATCCTATGGTTTTCATAATAGTCTGCTAAGGTAGTCAGAACAAGAACAATAGTTCCAATTTTATATAGAGAAATTAAAGCTAAATGAGACTTATGACTTACCTAACATCTAAGAAGAGAGAGAGAAAAAAAAGATCTTTCACATCTCCTGACTCTGTGAGACCCTACCTCACTGATGCCTTTCTAGTCCTGCCATCCCAACAATGCTATTTCTTTAAGTATATTTTTACAATGGTCTCATGCACTATTTGTCTTTATGAGACTGAGTTAGTTCACTCAGCATAATACTCTCTAGACTCTCCTATGCTATATAGTATTTTACAAAATTGTTATTCCTTAGTGTGTCATAAGTATTCCAGAATGTACCACACTTTCTCAATCCATTTGTTTGTTGATGGGCATTTTGCTGTTTCCATAGTCATGCTATTGTGAATAATGCTGCTATGAACATAGGTGTACATATCTTCATTTGTGTCTCAGTTCTCTTTTTATCGAGGTATATATATTCCTAGCAGTGCAATAGCTGGGTCTTAGGGGATTTCTATGGTCAGCTCTTTTTTTTTTTTTTTTGCGGAAGCACCCAACTGCCTTCCAGAATGGTTGTACCATTTTACATTTCTACCAGCAATGCATGAGAGTTCCAATTTCACCACAACTTCTCCAACATTTATTGTGTGCTGTCCTGTTAAACTTTGTAATTGCTGCTGGAGTGAAATGGTATCTCGTTTTTATTTTCATCTTTTTGATTGCCAGTGATTTTGAGCACTTCTTTGGGCATCTGTTTGCCATCTGAATATCTTCCTTTGTGAAAAGTTTTATCATGTCTTTTCAATTACCTTTGGCTTTCTTCATGTGTGCTATATTTTATGTTATCCTACAACTTGTGTGGTCTTCAGTCATTATGTTCAGTGTATCAAAACTTCTTTGGCTAGTCTTTAAATGCAGGTGGAGTAAACACAAGGTCATATTTTGAGTCTTATAAACATATTTTCATTTTCTTCAGCTTCAGCATCATAGGAACAGTTCATAGGCTGTTCCACACTCAGCCCCCGGCCTTGTTCTGACTGATTACATTGAGTTTTTCCTTTGTCTCTTTCCACAAGTGTAGTCACTTTGATTTCTGTGTAATCCATCAGATTAGGTCCATGTGTATGGTCACCATTTATATTTTTTAAATAGAGATTTTAATGAAAGATCACAGAGAACTTGGGTTTCCATTCATTCATTGTTGCACATTTTCCTCCATGTCCACTCCTTCCCCCTGCCATTTATATTTTTAAAAGGCATCTGCCAGCACCACAACAAGATAAAGGTAAATAATCCAATTGAAAAATGGGCACAGGATATGAACAGACACTTCACCAGAGAAGACATTCAGATGGATAATAAGCACATGAAGAAATGTTCAAAATCCCTAGCTCTAAGAGAGACGAAAATCAAAACAACAATGAGATATCATCTCACCCCAGTCAGAATAGCAAAATTTAACAGAACAGCAAGCAACAGATGCTGGTGAGGTTGTGGATAAACTGGAACCCTTATTCACAGTTGGTGGGAGTGTAAAATGGTGCAGCCACTGTGCAAGGTGGTATGGCGCTTTCTCAAAAAGTTGCAAATAGAGGTACCATTTGACCCAGCAATTCCATTACTGGGAATATACCTCAAAGAGACCATAACTGACATCCAAGCATATATATGCACACCCATATTTATCATGGCTTTGTTCACAATAACAAGGAGTTGGAAACAACCTAAGTGCCCATCAACAAATTAATGGATAGAGAAACTGTGGTATATTCACACAATGGAATACTACGCTGCATTGAAAACCAAGGAACTCATGCAATATTATTCAAAATGAGTGACCCTGGAGGACATTATGCTGAGTGAAGTATCTCAGTCACAAAAGAACAAATACTGCATGGTGCCACTGTTTTAAAACAGGACTGACTTCAGGGTTGGGGGGGGAGACTGAGAAAGATAGGTTCAATAATGTATACTGCATTGAAACAGATGAGGGAGAAAACTAAAAGGGATATGTAATTAGGTATTTTTGTCATGATGGGAGTCCAGAGCAAAGGCTGCATAGTAGAGTGGATCTGGGGGGAGGGATTGTAAAACAATGAAAGAATTTTTCTTTTACTTTTCCAAGAGAGTAGTGTATTAGGGGGAGGGTTGGGAGAGGAGAAAAGTGCAACATGAAGGAAAGAAAATCCAAAGTCTCTGTATATTTTCATTGAAATTAATAATAAAGAAAATTTTTAAAAAGGCATCTGCCATAAGTCCATTCTTGTGCAAAATTTTTATCCTGAAATCTTTGACTTTCTTTCTGCCACCGAAGCCATGTTTTCCAACTGCTAATGCTTTGTTTCCAAAATTGCTACCCAGTTAGTGATTATTATTAATGCATCTTGCTTGCATACTTGTTCCATTTCAAACTGCAGATGTTGATAGAAATACTTCAAGTGGCTAATGTATAAATTTGAATAATAGTTATATTAATAGGTAAAATATTAATCTTTGTATCTTTTGACTCTGAATGTGACACCTTTCCCCTTCAATTTGTCATTCCCAGAAGAGTAGATCATGTAATTGTCTGATTCAAAATGGTCAATCAGTCCATTTCAGTTCACTAAGGTCTGTGATACTGATCTTTTGTATTTCATTTTGCTTTTCACAGCTTCCAATTTTTCTAGCTTCATACTTCATATGTTCTGTATGCCAGTTATTAAAGGGTAAAGGCTGTTTTCAGCTATTTCTCTTCATTTTCATTCTTGCCACATCAGCACATAATGTCCTTCACTGAATTAAAGCTTTATTCCTTATGTGTCATTAAGGTAGATTCTATTTTGAGGAGGCAGTTCTTCCTCAGTTACATTTTAAATGTTTTCTAAGAAGAAGCTCATCTTCTAGAGCTGTATCAGACAATGCTCTGTTGCTATTCATAGTGTCTTCAAGAGCCCATTATTTAGAATGGATTGCTGTTCTTCCTTATTAGTCTGTTCAGTCTGGAAACTCCACTGAAGCTTATACACCATGGGTAGCCCTACTTGTATTTGAAACACTGACGGCATAGCTTCTAGCATCACAGAAACATGCAAGCCACCAAGGTTCAACAAAAGGACATATTAACAATGGAATAAATTTACGATTTGATCAAAAAGTCATACTCTCCTCCATATTATTCACAAGAGTAAGACTCTGATGATGTTAAGCTGTTTTTAAAATTAACCTTCATAAGTACTGCAGAATACACATCAGGTTGTAATGAGATTCTATAAGGATGTTCCATAGATATCTTGAGTAATATCAGATTGAAAGGTTAAAAAGGTGTTATTAAGCTTCCCAGAATGAGTTGCAAAGGTTAAAATAAACAAACCCCATTCATGTGTATTTTTTCATTGTGTACTAAACTAATAGCCTTATTATCTTATAGTCAGATTTGTAAAAGTACAGCCAGTCTTCTGCAGGACCATCTTAGGTAAGACCACTTGCATGAGAACAATCCTAAAGACCCATTTAAAATTCAATTTTATGGAGCCCTCCCTCTGATTCTGTGATTCAGGATTCAGTAAATGTGGGTGATACTGAGTAACCTGCATTTTTAATAAGCTCCCTAAACCATCTTTAGCCACAAAAATTTGACAGTAACTATGTTTTACTTCTTTGAATACATTTACATGCACCATGTACCTCTGTAATTAATAGTGAACCAGGTCTATAAAAATAAATATTAGACACAAAAGAGATTGAGGTGTTTTATACAGATTGTTCTTTTTTATTTTAAGTGTCTACTAGTTTTATTACTAAAATTTTGGATTCTATCAATAGCAAAAAGATAGAAGCAACACAAATGTCATCAACAAATGGATGAACAGAAAAACTGTGGCACATTCACACAATGGAATATTAAACAGGATTGAAAAATAGATTGTCCTTTTAGAGTCAGACTTGTGAGGGAATTTTGAAGAAAGATGACCACTTCTTGGCTCCATTCTTATGGAAGCCACCTGAAAGGAAATGCCACTTCTGTGTAGCCTTCAGTTGCTCATCTTTGTGGGTCCTGGCTGCCCTCTCCTTTCCTGTCAGGTGAGCTGGTATACCAAGCTCAGTCTCCAGATGAAGGTGCCCTGGTCACCGCTGCCAGAAACTTTGGCTTTGTATTCCGTTCCCGTACATCAGACACAATCATAACAGTTGAAATGGGAACTACTAAAGTCTACAAATTGCTGGCTATTTTGGACTTCAACAATGTGCGCAAACGGATGTCTGTTATTGGTGAGTACCCCACCTAGTTTTTTATCCCCTCCCTTTCTCTTTCATGTACGTTCACATGTTAACACTCTCTTTTTTTACCCCAACTTTCTTTTTTTTGTTGCTGCTGCTAAGAATATGCATAGCAGAAAATGTAATATTCAGAAATTTCCTTTCTAAAACTTACTTTTCAAATATGTTACTTCATTTAGAAAGAAAATTGACTTTTCATTCAATCATTCATACACATTTTGGGGAGGTTTTTTGGTTGGTTTCTTTGTTTGTTAATTCAATAAAGGAGGGTTTCCCCCCGTTCATCTACACAGATTACTTCATTCACATTGTGTTTCATATGATCATTCCCATACATTGTGTCTTATAAAATTAATCACCATTGATCTATGCCCACATATCACCCTGTCTTTTCAGAACCCCACTGGATCTTTCCTAATTCCCATTCAAGTATCCCTTCTCAGGTACTATGCCTCAGTTATACAGAGTCATTCCCAATTCCTCTATGCTGTATTTTCTCTTATACTTATATAGGGAAGGGGTCTTGTAACCATATGCAAGTGCTGTTCTGTAGAGTTTCTAGTAATGGCTCATCAACACTCCAAGAGAGAATATTAAATGAACATGAGGTGAAAGTGGGTTTGGGGTAGAATGGAAGGACGATTCATGTTAACTTGCTGTAAGTTAGTTTGGGCCCCAGATTGAAGCAAAAGAAAAAATCTTTATCATTGGACCTTGATTAGATATCAGCTTTAAATGACTTAATTGAAATACTAAATCTGATTCTGTATTAATCTTCTACAGGTGATAATATCAAAGCCATGAAAGACCTGGTCACATAAATTCCTCCCTCATTCTTACCATATCATTTGACCTGGGTGACCACTCATTAAATGCTTATCCCCACAAAGCAGCAGAAATCTTATAATAGCCTATATGATCACTTTACTTAATTTGCTTATCCTCAGTTCGGACACCTGAAAATCAGGTAATACTGTTCTGCAAGGGTGCCGACACCATCCTTTGTCAACTGCTTCATCCGGCCTGTGACTCGCTCAGAGATATCACCATGGACCATTTAGATGTGAGTATTTGAGTTGCAGAGGAGGGAGGCTGTTGGCAGTTTTGTGTGTCTGAGAGTGTGTTCACTTGAGTTTCTCTATGTCAGTGTTTCTGTATAGGTGTATATTGGTGTATCTATGTCTCTGTAAGTGAAACAATTAAAAACTACCTTATTGTGTAGGATCCTCACTGACCACATTACCAACTTCTCTGTCAGAGTTGGGTATGACAGGACCCTAAGGGAATGATGAGGATTATATGTATGAAAACACTTTTAATAAAAATAGTTCCCTTTATTTATTAATTCATGGGTCAGGGTGTCCAAGTCAGACCTGAAATCTGCTCCAGAATGGGAACCTAGTGGTCATGATGGGAACAGACTGTTCCTAGGGTATGGAGTTGGGGCTGCTAGATACCTCCCTCAGCTGTCATCAGGATTACAATCCCAAAAGTCACTTCCTTTCCTTACTACACTCTTCTCCCACCCTCCAGGATTTAGATTATATCAGAAAGAGAGAGCAGTTCCTGCCAGTTGCCACTAAAATGGAAAACAATATCCATACCCTCTGGTGTTTCTAGCCCAAACCCCATATATACAAATTGTTAGAAGACAAGGAAAAGAGTAAGGATTGGCCAGAAAAAGAAATAGATTGGAGGAAATGCAATTTTATTAGGCCACTTTGGCCTGGCCCTACATTAACACATAGTCAGAAGCTGGTGTACAAGTGGCCAAATGTGCATGAAAAGATGATCATAGTCATTAATTATTAACCCACTCCCATTGAATTGGTTAACTCAGATTAACTCATACTGCCCTTTCATCAGGCCTCTAAGGCTATATACATAACTGCAGGTAAAAGTTGCCCATTGTTCCCATTTGTAGCATCTGGTGGATTTGAACTGTAGACCTCTCAGTTAGCAGCCCAAGGCAAAATACATTGCTGTTGCTGAGTACTGCCAGTTTGGAACTGACCCATATCTAACCCTCCAGCAGGTTTTCAGAGGCTGTAAATCACATGGGAGATTGGCCATCTTTCTCCTGAGGAGTGTCTGATGGATTCAAACCACATATGTTAACATTGGCAGCCCAATTCTTTACCACTAAACCACCAGAGAGCTCCCTTAACGTACACTAAGGAAATGTAAATCAAAACCACAAAAAAATACACTTTATTCTTAAAAGGATGAATATAATAAAAGGAATGCAGACATAATAAATATTGACATGATGAGGATAAACGAAAGCCCTGATATATTTCCAGATGAGAATTACATAATGTAAAATTATGTAGCCGCTTTGGAATACAGACTTGTAGTTTCTCAAAATGTCAGACATAGAGTTATGGTGTGGTCCATAGACCAGCTTCAAAGTGGATCATAAAACAGATCTTTTAACCTTCATCGTGCTACCAATCTTAACAGATACTTATTTATTCTAGGATCTGACTGCACTCCAATCCAGCCAATTAAACACTTGATAAAGCTGTCAACTTTGCTGAGTCTTTCAAATAATTCCAGCAATTTTCTTGCTGAGTCTCAAGTTTCTCTAAATTAGATCATATAATCTACACATACAATTTTACACCTTCTTTGATTTTAATTGTTTTTGTCAGAAATTACTCATAGCTGAACCTCCACTTGGTATTCAGAGGCTGTAAATTGGACAGTAGGAGATTACCCATCTTTCTCCCACAGAAAGCAGGTAGGATTCAAGCTTCATGCCTTTGAGTTGGCTGTGCAGCTCCTTACCACAGGGCCACTAAAGCTATGTTTTATTTTCTTTTCTTGCCTTATTAACTTAGCTTAACAAAAGTTGTTGCTGAGTCATCCTTCAATCCTGATGCAACAATCTTCTTCATATAGTCCAGCCTCCCAAATTACTTGCTCAGCATACAGATTGAATGTTGTTTTGTTGTTGTTGTTGCTGGGTGCCATTGAGTCAAGTTGAGTACAACTCAAAGCAACCCTATGAACAGATCAACACCCTGTCCTCTCCTGTGCCAGCCTCACAATTTCTAACATTTCAAGCCCATTGTTGTAGTCACTGTGTTAATCCACCTGGGTGAGAATCTTCTCTTTTGCCATTCCCTCACCTTTCCAAGGAATAGCCTTTTCTAGCAACATGTCCAAAGTACAACTTTGCCATCCTGGCCTTCAAGAAGCACTTTGGCTGCACCTTCTTGAAGACGTATCTGTTTGTTTAATTTGGCAGTTTGTGGGATATTTATTAGTCTTCTCCAACAGCACAGTTCAAAGGCATCAATTTGAATAGGTATAGAGAAAGGATACAACCTTGCTGTCCACCTTTCTTGACTCTAAACCAATTTAGAATACCAGTAACCCATTACTATTAATCCACCTTGATTGCTTATTCTATATCAGACTGCAAAAGTTGGTAGAAATTAGAAATTTCTTCCTCCTTGACTTTAATCATTGGTACATATATTTGAGTAACTCTTGTATTAATAGGATGTTTTTGTATGTGTATGCTCTATGAGGAGAATTGTGGCATCAGGATTGGTGGAAGATCTATTTACAATCTGCGTTATGCAGATGACACAACCCTGCTTGCTGAAACTGAGGAGGACCTCATGCACTTGCTGCGAAGGGGTCA